AAAAAAAAAAAAAATAATGAAGGATCCACTTAGACAATATTGCAGTTCCTGTCCTGATTAAGTGATTACCAACAAAACGTGCAGCTAGCGTTATTCTTAAAATCGAGACAAAAAAATAAAAATCTCAAAAGCGTTTTCAGGCTACGTGAGGCTAAATATCTGTGTCATTCGGAAAAAAAAAAATTTTAACTTAAAAACAGACACTAAAACCCATATACGCAAAATAAAATTAAAAACAAAAAAAAATAAACATGCTGTTCTGTAGGTACGGAAAACGCCTACACCTTATGAGCATACCACACAACCAAACAAAACGAATGAACCCCCTAACTGAGCCAAGACTCGAGTTACTCGAAAAAATAAAATAGATATTTATATAACCAGCAAATTCCAAGATTAAGTGCTGAACTTGACATGAACATATTAATAACATTAACAACCTCAAATATTTAAGGCACTATGTGTGGGAACAGTATACAATGCAGCTGATTATTAGGACGACGACATTTAAGAGCACGGTCTAGGCAACGTTTTTGTTTTTTAGGGGTTTTTTTCTTTTTTACTTTTCTTCTGCCCATGCAAAAGACACATGCAATGTGAACATCAACTCAGTAGCCAAGTGACCCAACACTGAAACACCAAGACATACAGAAACAAACGATTGACACGAGTACACCGTACTGCTGACGATATGTGCATTTGTTGCGCTAAACCTGTACGTTGAATGGCTTCCCAAAAAGACGTGTCTTGCACTAGTTAGAAGGCAATTGTATAAAAAATATATCAGGAGAGAGTGAACTCTCTCCTGTAAGTCACCTGTCTAGAGTTACAATAGAAGAGAACAGGACTAGAGACAAGGTATACCAAATGTGCAAAACACATTAAAAGTGATTTTTTTTTTCAATTTCTTTTTTTTTAAAGCTCAAGATTGTTTTAAATTGCACCCAAGTCTACGTGATTCAAAAAATATTTTTTCTTTTTCTTCTTGTGCCATGGCGGAATTTTTTTTTTGTCATCTCTTTTTTTTAATCAAAAGCCATGTTCTTGTGTTCTGCTTCAAACAAAAGGTTTGAATCTTTGAGCTTCTCCTCTACATGTAGGTTTGTCGAGTTCTCACATGTACGGATACTGGTTGAGTTTCGTGGGGCTCAAGGGAAATCCCGCGTAGGCGGGCGATGCGGCAATGTACGAGTGGGATGGGAAAATCGGTTTGTACTGAGTCTGGTGCATGGTCGGTGAAGGTAGAAGACGGGGGTTGATTCCCACGGCTACCTGATGGATGATGCCGCCGTGGTGGGAGAAGTTGTAGGCAGGGTGTTGTAAGATTGGTCTTGTGGTACACGGGGAGGCCAGGAGGTGGGCCACAGGTGCTCCAGTGCTCAGTGGACCAGAAGGTGGGTAGGATAGGATGGTGTGCTGGCCACCTAGGTGAGCATGCACTGCACTGTGATTTGGACTTCCATGTGGGAGGGTGAAGTGATGACTGGTGGGTGTGATGAATGCCTGCTGTCTCCTGTGCCCATAGTTTCCATTCCATTCTTGATGACCAGATCCAAAATGTTGTACCTGCCAAAAGAAGAATTGTGTAAAATGCATTATATAGTCAACCTGGGCTGATGAACATACACAAGTAAAGACGTTGAATGGTCTATACTAGGGATGCACCGATATCTGTATTTCAGTATTGAGTACCGATAATTTTTTTCGGTACTTGCCAATACCGAAAGTCACATTCAGGAAGCTGGGTGACTCACCACCTGGCTTCCTGATTAGCCGGGAAGTGTGTGAAGACACGCCACCCGGCTTCCCGATTAACAGGGAAGCCGTCCCCATGCTTCTCGTCACTAGGTGAAGAGAAAGCATGGAGCCAGCTTTCTGGCCAATCAGGAAGCCGGGCGCTGTGTAATGACGCGGCACCCGGCTTCCTGATTGGCCTGGAAGCCGGCTCCATGGTCCCTTGTCATGAGGTGACGAGGAAGCATGAAGTCAGCTTCCCGACCAATCAGAAAGCCGGGCTCCGCGTCATTACACGACGCCTTGCTTCCTGATTGGCCAGGTTCCGACCAATCAGGAAGCTGGGCAGCGCGTCATTAGATTTCTCGCCACAAGTGACGAGAGAGCATGGAACAGGCCAAACAGGAAGCCGGACAATGTGTAATGACGCACTGCCCGGGCTAGGCGCTGATACCAATACTAGTATCGGTGTCGGTGCATCCCTAGTCTATACTGTATTAACCCCTTCATGACTGAGGCCTTCCCGATGCTGGCGACGTACACTGTACGTCGTCAGTCACGAAGGGGTTAATAAGAAGAAATAACTACATATAACAAAGTACAGACCTAGACCTTAAAAGGCATCAGTGACCCCTCTTAATAGGAATTCTGCTTTCCACAAATGGCATTCTGAAGTCACATTGATGGACTATAGCCAGGGCTAGATTTTTGCAGGAGCTGATGTCTTCCAGCAGTTTGTGATCAGCTTCCCCACTGATTACATGAGCTCAGTGCAGTAAATAGTTTATTTATACTGAATAAAACAGGTATGTGGACAGATGGCTTTCCTGTTACTCGCAATCCTGGTCTGCAGACAAGTGTCTCTGCAGTGTTTGACTGCAGACAGACTAAAAACAGTGTACACTAATCTGGGCTTGTGAAGACAACTCTAAAAGATAAGGAAACAAAAGACCTCTAGAAGTAGAAGGTCATATCTGCAAAGTCACATGGTGTTCCTAAATGTAACAAAAGTACTAACCGCCTTCTAAAACCGACGGTCATATTATACTGGTGTGATGGATTGCTGTGGTTATTTTAATATAAAAAACTAAAATTTGAAATGAGGAAAATTTCTATAGGGCCACTGTAGAGAAAGCACCTCGAGGTATCAGAACATCCTCCTTTTGTGTTTTATCAGAGGGCTAAAGGTGTTTCCCTGGCAAAGCTATATAAGATATAGTTGGCTACATGTCTGGGGGATAGACAAAGAAGATACAAATCTAATTTTATGGAAACTAGGACAACTGGTCATTTATAATGGAGGGAAAATTAATAAATGAGCCCATGTTAGGAATGAGGTTATTTCATATCCCATCAACTAAGCGAGGGAGAAGAAAAAAACCTTCAACTTTGACACGGTTTACAACTAATGTGTACACAATATATGCAGCATCATGGTTCACAAATATTCTTCTGTGATAAACAGACAAGATCTGGGACTCCATTTGATGTGAAACAACCAAACGTACCTGGCTGAAACTCAGAGGCTGTTGATGCTGCTGGAATGCTGATGTAAGTTTCTGCTGGCGGTTGCCAAGGGCTGTGAGGTGGTTTTTTCTCCCAGGGGCTGACCTGCCTTTTATTAGGGGGCGACAAGCTGCATCTGAAACACATACACTTCATGTTAGCCTCCTGCTATTAAATATCACACAACAAAAGAAGGCAGCCCAATTGTTAATGGCCAAATTTCAGAATAGCCTCCATCATCTTAATGCCTGAACAGGGGAAAGAAGGAAGGGAGAGAGAGCGAGAAAGCGAGAGAGAAAGCGAGAGCGAGAGAGAGAGAGAAAGCGAGAGAGAGAGAGAAAGCGAGAAAGAGAAGTCGAGAGAGAGAGAAAGCGAGAGAGAGAAGCCGAGAGAGAGAGAGAAAGCGAGAGAGAGAAATCGAGAGAGAGAGAGAGAGAGAGAAAGCGAGAGAGAGAGAGAGAGAGAGAGAGAGAAAGAGAGAGAGAGAGAGAGAAAGAGAGAGAGAGAGAGAAAGCGAGAGAGAGAAGCCGAGAGAGAGAAGCCGAGAGAGAGAGAAGGCGAGAGATAGAAAGAGAGAGCACCAGAGAAAGTGAGCGAGAGAGAGCGAAAAAGCGCGAGAGAGAGCGAAAAAGCGCGAGAGAGAGCGAAAAAGCGCGAGAGAGAGCGAAAAAGCGCGAGAGAGAGCGAAAAAGCGCACGAGAAAGAAAAGGAAGGTTAAAAATCAATAAAAGCCACTCACCTTTGTTGTTTGTGGCCCTGTGGGAATTGTCCCTGCATTTTTCAATCCTGATAGGTGGAACCACTAATGTACACACTGCAGGTTTGCTCTCGACTTTTTCCGATACCCGGTTTTCTGAGTTCTCATTGGTGTCTGTGACAAAGCTGCTCTTTACAAATGGACTATCATGGCCAGAGGAATCCGAGCTCGGTGATCCATCAACTGTATCACAACCACTTTCAGGTTCATCATCCGACATGCTGTTGAAGGACAACCCATATTATATATATTAGCCACCCTGGTATAATGATAGACACTGATGCACTGAGATCATACTACTAATCCCTAACGGGAAATTATTGCTTAAAAGAACACAAATTCTTCATTTATTTCCACGGATTTGGAGGTTTTTGTCATACACACTTCTTATTTAACCACAACAAATAGAGAGTGTGAATCTGCCCAGTAAGTACACAAACAGCAATAAAAACCTGACCTACTATATTACATGAAAACCAACATTTGGCTTTTAAATACTTTAAACTCAGATTTTTACTAAAAGAAATAAGAAGATCTATGAAAGCCACTACAATAAAATAAACATTTGAACTTCTATCTCCTTTCTTGTTTGGCTGATAATATCCATCTATGAAGGGAATCCTATGAACAGAGATATGACCATGTAGGCTGCACATGTACTACACAATAAAGTCAATGGTTTGGTAAAGTCACCTGTTGGGTCTTTTGCGGGGGGATGGGCTGGACTGGCCAGAGGAGCTGGTGCTCAGGGTGCTATCCGGACTGCTCAGGGAACAAACTCGATCAATGTTCAGAGTACTCTGACAGGCTTCACAGTCCAGGCTTCCTTTGCACCTGAGTGATGAAAGCAATTCATGACATTAGTGCATAAAGTAACATTGGCATAACTCCAGCTTAAAGTGTATTTCCACTTTCACACTCAAATTGAGATTTTATATTTGTTCTGTGTTACCATTCACATCCCATAAGCTAAAAAAGTGCTTCTTACAGTTAAAATTGCTTTTACTAGGGTTAGGGTATGTTGGCTTCTTAAGGGTTACAATTTCTACTTGCTTCTCCTTCCTTGTAATGTTAGGAGGAGCTGTGAGGGGTTTGTTAACCCTGCCTGTGCTGGCTCATTTCATTATGCTTTGTAAAGTAGATCTGAACACTGTCTGCCCTAACAAAGGGTTAAAAGGATTAAAAGCCTGGCTCCTGCATTCAAATGTTAATGAGAGAAACACAATTCACAAATTTCAGTCCCGAGTCTTTCAATAAGGACAGATCACTGTGAAGGTGCTCAGAAAAACCTGGAATCGGCCTGCTACAACAAAACATCTAAAAAGGTAAGAAATATAAGGGGTTTTTTAAATATTTTTCGGTAAGCTGTGTAAATGGGAATATATAACAAACATATAGAGGGGTTTTCTCAAATTTTACTGCATAAGTGGAAATACACTTTCAGTTGTTTTTTCAAACATTTTATGTTATGTTAAGAGCAAATGTAACGATGACATATTGTGAGCCTGTGCCCAATTCATGTACACTAAAGCGTCCACATATTCTCAACAGTAAAAGCATTTTAAAACAAACCATTATTGATCTCTGTATCTATAAGAATTGTGAAGAAACCCATTTTAAAAGTTCACAAGTGCTCATGACAAGGGAGCATGGTGCCGGCTTCCTGATTGTGTAATGACGTGGCGCCCGGCTTCCTGATTGGCAAGAAAGCCGGCTCCACGCTTTTTCGTTACCTGGTGACGAGAAGCATGGGGACGGCTTCCCTGCTAATCGGGAAGCCGGTGGGCGAGTTTTTACACGCTGCCCGACTTCCCAGCTAATCAGGAAGCCAGATGGCGAGTCATTACACGCCGCCTGGCTTGCTTAATGGGACTTCCGGTACTCGGTATCGGCGAGTACCGTAAAAAAAAAAAATATCTGTACTTGATACAGAAACACCGGTATCGGTGCATCCCTAACTTGAATATTTCTGAGACTACTAGTATTCACCCTTCAAATGGTTTATATAAATCAGTGTTCTAATAATATTTGAAAAGCTTTTCTTATAGTACGAAGCATCTGAGTCAGTGAATGTTGCCAAAGGTACAGTCCAGTCAAACCTGAACATTTACCATGGATATACCTAAGCAGGACAAAGCCAACCTGCCTAAGTCATTTAATCATCACACTAAAATACTTAAACACAACAGGCCACTAATGGGTTAAAACATTGCGGCTAACAGTAGTATGGGGTCCCGGGAATACCTGACCCTGGGCCTCTCAATCTACATCCCAGGGATTCTCGAATTTACCCATCAAAGTCTTTGGCAATCTAACTGTGCAGATTCCCGACCATTCATGAAGGAATTATTCATGACCTAGCCCAGCTGCAATCTACAGGAAGCATTACACACAGAGCAGAGGGAGGGAGTTGGCATAAGAAAAGTGATCGGTGAGAACGCAGGTCCTTCTAGAGGCTTTCAAAGACCTGCTTCAAACAGGCAATGGGAAAAAATATATAAATAAGGTGAACTGAAGGCCTTCTGAATTTAGAACGGTGGCAATTTCTGCTGGATACCATCAGTGGTTTACTGAATAAGTACCCAGAGCCACTAACAGAAGCAAATACCTCAAAAAGTCCAGAGATAAACAATTTATAGCCAAACAGGCGAATAGCTACATACACAATTGAATGCATATCATATGAGAGCTGTTTTACATGCCAAAGGATTTACATTTGCTCTACAGTCCCGACAGAACAGCCAGGCTGATTCGCAGATTCTCTCTTCTTCAGTTAAACATATCTAAGTCACCTTGCTGTTGCCAGCCTTTGATTGGCAGTGAAAGAGCAGCAGATTGATGGGGTCATCTTTCTGCTCTCTCCACCTGTCAACACACTCCTTGTCAGTTCATACACACTGCAGGTCACTAATTGGCTTCTGGTGCTGTCTCTCCCTGTCCTAGCATGAGAGCTGCTATACAGCGTATTATAAGAGGCTGAAATAAAGTCAAATGCATGTATTTACACCTGGTTGCATTTGGAAATACTTCAAAGTAACATTCATTCGACCCAGAGGACTAAGAAGAGTAGGCGATACTGAAGGCACAGCTCCGACTTGAAGTTTAGCAGCTTTTAAGCAGGGTACAAAAACAAATCCTTTATTTGGTCATCTACAGTGTGAGGGGTCCCAGGCTTGGCTCGGTTATGGTGAATAAACCCCAAGACACTGCAAACCATCACTCATGTGGAAATCTAAAACAAGAAGCAGCACTTACTCTCTCAGGGAGTGTGTCTGTGAAGAGTCCTCCTCATCCGTGTCACTGCTGATGGTAATGACACTCACTGTAGGGCTGGGTGAATCAGCTATAACAATTGTTTGCCTTTGTTGGCTGGATACATCCAACGTCGCCCCCTCGTTTGCCTTACACAATCCAACCTCTTGCTGCTCTGAGTTCTGATTGTCTGTTGGTAACGTACAACTTGCAGGTTCTGTGGTCTTTGCGCTGTTTGAGATCTTTGGAGAGGTAAGTGCTTTATTATGGACAACAGGATCCTGTATTGTGTTACTCCTGTAGACAAAGATTATGTGATGAGTAAGGTGAAAAGTAGCAATCACAGATGCAAACATGTTATTCCAGCATACTTATCCGGCCCATTGATATGTCTTCTTACCTGTTCTGACAAAGCTTGTTCCGTTTGTTAGCAGCAGGCTGAGGCCACACCACGTGTGCGATGCCTAAACTGATGGGCTGAGGAGCCGACAGTGTCATTTGGTTGGTTAAAAGAGGCTGTAGGATCATTGAGCTGTAATGGTTTCCATGGTGAATTACTTTCCTACACAAATACAAGTAAAAATAGTAAGAAAACAGATATGTTAAAGCCTCATACGACAAAGGGTAGATTTTTGGGGTGCACGGCAAAGCCCATTTTCAACACTTGCCCGTCAGTATTCAACATTCTGCCCCTTCCTCTTAGTAGCTATTAGGCACGCAAGAAAGGACATCTCACTGCTCTGCTTGCATCCTCCATAAAAAACATGGAGAAGCCAGAGACAAAAGTAAGATGCCTTTGCAGTGGCTGTGAGGCACAGATGGGAACCTGGGTGCAACAACTGTGTCACTAGAGCCCCAGAAACACATAAACACTAACTTCAACGAGTACTGTGGCAGCATCTAAATAGGACACCCGAGATTCCTGCCACAAGGAATCCGCGTGTCAATGTAGCATAAAGAGAAGCAATGCTAACACCACAAAGATACTTAAAGGAGAGCTATGAGGTGAGTGAAAATCACTCATCCCCATAGTTCGAGCCTCCAGGCTGACTGGAGGAACGGACGGGGAGGGGGCGGGCACAGCTGGCTCTGCCTCTAGATAGGCAGAGTCAGCTGTCACTCACGCAGCTGGGTCTATCGCAATATACTGAGCTTTGGGTCACGGGAGGATGCTAGCCGTGACCCTTAAGAGAACTATAAGGAAAAACACTTACCCCATAGTTCTCTTTTAACTTTTAGCAGATTTGAACTGTGCCCAGGTACTGGCAAGCTAATGTTACCTGGTTGCACCCACTGGACAGAATCTTTGAGGCAATGGCACTGACTGGCTGCCTTCTGTCTTAACAACAAATCTGTGCCCCTGTCTCACAGAGTAAGAATATACAAAACAGAGATTTATTAGGAAAAAAAGAACCAAAAACCCACTGTAAGACATACCCCCAGTCGCCTAATCTCTGGGGTCCAGCCATGCTATCAGTGGCAATTGTAGTTGTTGGTGCCACTGTTGTCATTTGCTGCCATGCAGGAACCAATATGGGCTGCGATCCGTTTGACCACGTTTGCTGAAAGAGATAATGATGTTAGCATGATCTGAGACACAAATGAAAAATGTTAGTTTGGTAGTAAACTCACCTGTGAGAGAACACCAGGTCTTATCTGCAGGGGTTGGATGCCGGGGGCTTGTGTAACAAGGGGCACAGTGTTGTCCACTCTCACTGAGTAACTGGTGGGCTTCCCATGGTTTGGTGGCATTCCTGCAAAAAAAAACAAAAAAACATTTACATACCTAAAGTCATGCAACAAAGAAGCTAAGAATTTGTAAATTATACGTTAACTACCTGCTGTCCGGCCGTTGTAATTAAACGGCCGGACAGCGGCTTCTTGAGCAGCTAGCGATGGCTGTTTACATACAAGCGTTCGGGCGTCTGTAGAGACGCCCGATCGCTTGTAATATCCGGTTGGGTGTGCGGGCCCCCCCCCCTTCGCCGCCGCTGCTGGCTGGGCTCTGCTGTTACCGGTGTGAGCCCGGGACCAGCACAGCAGATCTGCGGCCGGAGATCAAACAGAGCTCAGTACACGAGCTCCGTTTGATCTCCTCTCCTCTTCTGAATGCAGGCAGCGATGTGTGTCAGGTTGAAGAGCGCTATGATTTGTCATAGGAGGCGGCGCTCTTCTCCCCTCTGCCCGCTCGGCCCCCTGTGACAGCCGATTAAGGATGGAGAGCGGTATACAAATGCTCAGCGATCAGCTAATTGTTGAGTGTTTGTAAATAACTGGACATAGTATGCGTTACTATGTCCCAGTTATGAATGGGAAGTGATATTACTTCCTATTCATTCATAACTGTGGCCATAGTAACACATACTATATCCACAATGTATGAATAGAGGCTTCCTGTTCATTATAACAGGGGCTGCAGAAAAAAGAGATTGAGTACTGTATCCTCAATCTCTTTTTCTATTCTAACCCCTTCGTGACTAATGACGTACAGTGTACGTCGCCAGCATCGGGGCTGTTTAAACAGACTCCCGGCGACTTTTGCCGGCGGGACTCTGCGTAAACTTGAAGAGGTAGTATTTTGGGGTATCTCTAAATTGATGACCTGTGGGGGCTTTTAAAGCCTGACACGTCCAGAAGTGACAAATGCTGAAGATTCAACAAGCATCAGAATACTGAGGAGAGCAATGGTGCAGGCAGCAGAACAGGTAGGTATTAAAATCCTTCTTTATCATGAAGCTCTTTTTATTTTATTTATAAGGGACAGGCTCCCTCTTAAAATTATAGTAAATATTATATCTGTAAATTATACCTGGGGGACAAAGGATTAATGTTTGCTGAAAAGCATCATTGCAACCAAATGGAGCTCCTGCCTGCACTGGTATTCCATGATGGATAACTGTATGGCCTGATGTGGTTAAAGCCTGGAAGACAAACGGAAAAAAAACGTGAATAAATAAAAGTTTATTAGACTACTTCTACAGTAGAAAAAGCATTTTACTACTACTGCTCGATGTTTATCTGTACCCAAGGTGTCATTTTTTTATCCACCCACAAGAGGGCTCACTAGCCACATACAAAACATCTGCCCATAACAGACACTGCAGAGAAGCTTGTGGATTCCCATAGCTGTTCTACAAGAGCCAGCATCTTCCCTATCATTGTACAAAGTGAGGACATGCCTTAAGGATTTCTCCAGTTAAAGAATTTCAGTTTTTTTTAAAGGGAACCTGCCAGGGCAGGATAAAAATGCTGTCACTGATGACTTGTTTGCCAGGTGCTCCATGGCTGTCATACGTATCCTTGCTTCATTATTAAAGTCAATGGCTCTAAACAAAGAAGTGCATATCAGGTGCCCCGCAACCGGGACTCATTAAGATGCAAAAGGACGATATGTATGACAGACCTGGAACTTGTGCCAAGCAGAATCCTTATAACATTCGCAGGTAAAGTTAAAAGTCTACTTCATAAAAACTGTCTATAGTGACATTTAACTCCTATTCAATTTGAAACATTCTTTCTGCTCTCATTTTCTGGTGTACGTCTGAATTTGGTTGCTGTAAAGAATACAGAGAGCTCTTAGAAAAGACTTCTTGATAAATGAGGACACTGGCGCGCACTCACCTGACCCCTGACGTTGCCAAGCTTGGAGAAACCGGCTGAAATGTTAGCTGCGTTGGCTGGGCCCAGTGGTCTCATGACTGATGTTTTATTGCGGTTAACAGTGTCACCCAAGCCGGGACGTGACTTGCAGACATCAATTATATGGAAACACGATTTCACACTGTTGGCCAAACACAGACAGAGTTTCTTAATTATAAATCTTTTAAAAAGGCTTCACACATTTACACAGAGTTGTCAATAATACCACTATTCATACATTTCTAAATCAAGACAATTGTCCTCTTCAGTAACCAACATGTCAGCTGCAATCTATGATGACAGTAATGGAAATCTATAGGGAGATGACAAGAGCAAGCTAAAACTGACAATACATAGACATATAATGGGCCTTCAAAGTGCTTCAAGTGCCCCAGCACCTCAAAAGATCTGATACCTCCAGGTTTTAGACACTTACAGGGGACTTTTGATGGTTTATGATGAACTAAACTCTTCATGATCACCAATCATTATATCAGGCACTCCTGTCTTCTTCTATACCTCTTGGATTTCACCTCACCAAGATACCTCTTAACGCCTACGAGAGCCCGTGGACACTTTAATATAGGTTCATAGCTTGATTGAGATCGACATACATTTGGAGAGCCTCCTAACTTCATCCCTCAATGAGAAAGGAGCAGGCACACCTTTGGAGTCTTGGCTAGTAAATTGCAACCTACTAGAGGCTTACAATAATAAGAAATAATTCTTACAATGTATTCAACCAAAACAAAAATCATAAAAACTAGAGCGGGAAATGCTTTGCAATGTAAATGCTGTCATATAATGTACAGGGAATTGGGGGGCCCATCTGTAAACGGCCACTTAAAGGTCATAATCTGTCCTTCTGCATAGCTTCTAAAGCTACAGGAGTCGCACACCAGTAAAATATACAACTTCAAGTGAAAGCCTATTATAGTTTTTTAAAGTGACTATTGCAAGGTCTATAGCCGTGCATTAGATGTGAGGATGCCGAGGGACATTCCACAGCCGGAGTGGAAGGGAGGAAGGCGGGTGCTGACTACCAAGGGAGCACGGATCAGGTCAATAATAGTGCTTTATACAATACCCCTAGATATAAATGAGTAGATAACCGTTGCAGTGCGGGGATAGCCACACTGCAAGAGGAGGAGGTTTTTATGTATCTGGTAATAAATGGAACAATATGATGATCAGTGAGAAATTTCTGCTGTCAGTCTCTAGAGAGTGAGTACAAAAACTGTGGTATTCAGTTCATCCACTAGTTTGTAAATAATACATAATATATATCCTTTCATCCTTACTAACGAATCTTCTATCAACTAAAATCTGATGAGTTCATCGGCATCGCTGCAATTGACAAATCTTACTCATTTATACCTTTGCTTGTGTTCCAGCCCTCCTCATTCATCTCCCAGTCTCTTTCTTGTTTCAGTAACTGAACACATCTTGCAGAGATCACTAATCAGCATGTATAAGACCACAAATCAAAGATGATTTTCAGCAAACTGCTGACTAAAGTAGAACTTGTTACCCACATTGCCTATGAAAGACGACCAGGGAGACCAGCATCTGTTACTGCAAGCTTCTGAAGCCAGAGTAGAGCAGAGAGCTGCACAGAAATGTTGGACAGATTTATAAAGACTCGAGCAAATAAATGTTTCTGTATTAACAAGAGCATTCGATGATGTGTGTCCATTCATTTTATCTCAACTGGAAATGTGACAGTTACAATCAATGTGTTGCTATGAGTGGTGGGACCTACAGAGGGGACAAGCTTACATGTTAAGCTTATTTTGCCGCACCCCAGAGTAAAGGCAAATAGTGCTGGACCAAATGAGTCGCAGTCCACATGTGCCGTGACATATTATAAACATGATTGGTGGCACCGTAAATGGGATGTTGATAAGAGATAACAATGCAATAAACCCTGAGCTGGAGACTTCAGCAATGTGTGTACTCACCTTTTCACACACACCTAGCCACAGACATTACAATCAATTTGTACAAATGCCCTCCAGATTTGTCAACAACTATGCAGTACAAGGGCTTGCCTGAATGGATGTAAATGGAACAGATTGTTCAGTTAGGCTCTCAAACTACACGGTTAGGGTAAATCCAAAGGAGATTGTACAGTCAGATTGTAACATGTGCGGCCAGCTTAAAGAGAACCTGTCACTTTCATTAAAAAAAGTGAACAGCCGCAACCCTGTAAAAGAAGATAAATACCTATGTTTTCATTGGGTGGTATGTTGGACCTTCACTTTCTTGCAGAGGTAAAGACATCTCTGCTATCTGACATTTCTGGGTGTTTCTCCAGCAGTCCACTACAGTTTTCTATAGTGATATAGGAATTAACGAAAGGAACCACAGCACCCAACAGGAGACATCCTATCCAATACTGGGAAGTGTCAGATAATGGTGCCTGTAGCTCTGCAATGGAGTGAAGATCCAACATGCCCCCTGACATGTTTGATGACCCGGAAGTGTCAGATTGAAGTGCAGCCTGTAGCGCTGAACACATCACCTACAGGAATGGAAAGTATTTAAAGGAGAACTATGAGGTGAGTGCTTTTCACTCACCTCATAGTTCTAGCCGACCTGTGACAATGAGACTGTAGATCGGGAGGTGAGCGAACACATACTGGCGTTCGCTCACCTCTCGATCCTGTCACGGCTCTCTACCGTGACAGGGGAGGGGCTGGATTCCCCCCTCCCCGATCCGCCAGCGCTGACTGGCGTAACGGACGGGGGAGGGGCGGGTACAGCTGGCTCTGCCTTTAGATAGGCAGAGCCAGCTGTCAGTCACGCAGCTGGGCGGATCCAGACATAATTGTCGGGATCCTGCTTCAGCTGCGGCGTCTCAGTATACCGCGAGCTACAGCTTGCGGTATACTGAGCCTAGGGTGCCGGGAGGACGCTAGTTTGTGTCCTCCCGTTACCCTAAGGAGAACTATGGGGTAAAGCCTTAAACCCATAGTTCTCCTTTAACTCATTCTCTATGGTGGAGCCTGTTTATATAACAGAGACTGGGTATCTTTTAGAGCTGTGGTTCTCAACTGGTGGGTCGTGACCCACAAGTGGGTCCCTGCATGTCTTCCACTGCGCTAGGTGAGAGGCTCCTTAGCCTCCCCCTAGGGCAGCACTGTCAGTTCTCGTGCAAAGCAGCCATTCATAATATGCTGCCTGGTGCCGAGTGTCAGCTTGAGGTGGGGTGGGCTGGGGATATGGCTGTGAGGGATCTCCAACCATACGTGCATTGCTTTCAGCTCCCTTGCATGCATTGTAGAGGTCCCGGGACTGGAGTGACGTCACATTCTGGCTCCCAGCACTTCTACAGGGTCAGGGGAACTGTACAAGCAATGCACATATGCATCCATCATAGCACAGCAGCACACACTAGGACCCAGCCTGAGGATCCACTCCGATTCTCATAAGGTAGGGAGACTGGGTGGATCTTAAAAAACATATTTGGAGTGTGTGTGTGTCTGAGTGTGATATTGTGTCTGTGGTTGTGTGTCGGTCAGTGTTTTTGAGAGCCTGTTCACACTAGTACAGTGTGTTTATCGCACAGTCCCATGTGATTAACGCACTGTACCATGCAATCACAACTACTGCGTGTTCTGGTGCAGGAGGTGCGTTGTGTTGCCATTCATTTGAATGGCACCCCAAGCGCACCTCCTGCCCATCTGATCGATCACACCAGAAAGTGCGGTAGCGCAATGCCGTGTATTGCAGTACGGTGCGACTTGGGTCGCGAATTAATGACTAAGCACAAATGTGGGTCCTGAAGTTACACAGGTTGAGAACCACTGGTTTAGAGGGTCTTAGCCTAGCAGTTCAACTAAACATGCACCATCTGTGGTAGAATCACACAATGTTTTCACATAGTGTTGGAGAAAGTCTAGGAACCGTGACCTGAGATAGCATAAATGTAGCACATACAACAGTTGCATGTTTTGCATTTGTAACATGAAGCATTATATATATGCATCAGGCTGCAGATACAATGACAAGCGGTTGCTGATATATGTAAAATGTTCTGGACAGGTTTCCAACCCCATGTGACGGAGCAAATGATGATTAAACTGCAAACCTGTGATAAATACCTGCAGACAGTATTTACACTGGACAAGCTGCTGACGATTATAAATTTCCCCAGGCGCTAGTTACTCGGCCAGGTTTCAAGTCACCCCACGACAGTAAATTTGATATGAGAGATCGTCTGCTCTGGATGGTATGATATGGGTCTGGGCTAATATTACATAATACCTACATGAAGCCACTGAGTTTCATAACTCCTTTCCTTCCTCTATCCTAAACAGCAGCAAAAGGGATAAACCTCTGATACCATCTGTCTTGTCTGTTTAATCTATACTAGGGCTTTGACCTATTTAAGAATGCTACTGTGCTTCAGTGCTTTTGTAAATATTTCACTGTGGTCATATTTTCCGCGTTCAGTCCGCTGAACGTATTCCAGTTGGCATGTTCTGTAAATACAGGCTCTCTTTTCAGCAATGTGAACATGAGGCAAGGAATCCACAGCAGACAGGATAACAAACTTTGACAAAGTAAAGGAACACATTCTTGCAACTGCAGCATGACGTTGGAGAATTCCTCGACCGGGGAGACTGCTCATCTACAATCCCTTAAATCCCAACTTATTGAAACCCAAATACCCCTATAACTCTATCCTACACAAGTGTCTCTTTTCTAATGCCTAAAACAATGAAGAAGACAAAAAGAATGATGTGATCCACCCTGGTAATAACTGCACAGGTGATTCTTTTTATTTTTCCACTGTTCTGGTTTATAAAGAAATGTGTTTGGTCTGGTTTTGAATGCTGGGCCATTGAAAAAAATGTTATGCATTTCCTAAAAACCGAAGGGGGAAAAAAAAGCTGCAGCCTGCACTTGCTCAACTTCAATCCACAAAAACCCATTGGTGGAAAGTGGAAACTAGGGATGTTCAGATACCAGTGCCGATACTTGGCATTTTCATGAGAACTACCAGGGTTGCAGCTGGGACCTGGCTCTGGTGCTCCTCCACTGTCCTGACATCATTAGTCTGTATTGTTTTAGAAAAACTGTCACATGACCATAAACAAGAATGTATCAGTACTTGTATCTATGAGTACTTGGACATGTATTAGTACTTGTACTTGGAAAAACGGTATTGGTGCATCCCTAGTGGAAACCAACAATGAATACAGTGCTGGACACTTCAGTGTGGTTTAGTTTAATGCAGAACACTGGGGAATTTTTTTCTAACCAATGTAATGGTGCTCATTGTGGTCTAGGGAGCAAAACAAGTATATAAGTTATGCTCACCCAATACTCGGGTGTCTCAGCACTCCCTGAAATGTGTCTCCTCCACTGCGATGGTACATCCCTCAGCGTCCTAACATCCTATACACTGTGTATAGGATGTGATGACTTACAGGACCTTAGACCGCTGCAGCAGAGGACGAAAGAGGCTCCAGGGACCGGACCAAGGGCTAGTTCATAACAGCCCCAGTGCGTTCCGGCCCGCACTGGATCGCATCCCGGCTGGCTCACTGCGTTCTGGGGCGTGGTGGTGTTAAAGTCAATGGCACCAAAAACCATGCCGCAGTGCGATCGCCCACACCGGAAAGCATGGGACACCAATGCCTGCGTTCCAGTCAGGTCAGAAAAAATGCTGCATGCACTATTTTGTCTAACTGCACCGGACCAGAACGCAGGCATTGATGTGCCACACGTTCCGGTGCGAGCGATCGCAATGCGGTAGCCATTGACTTCAATGCCCCACCACGCCTCCTCCTGCCCCAGAATGCAGTGAGCGCACTGGAGCTGGTGTGAACTAGCCCTTAGGGCAGGAGTAGCCAAATTCCAGCCCTCCAGCTGTGGTGAAACTACAAATCACACGATGCATCTCACTCCAGGAGTCATGCCTGGTGGCTGTGAGAATCTTGCAATGCCTCATGGGATTTGTAGTTGCACCACAGCTGGAGGGCCGGAGTTTGGCTACCCCTCCCTTAGGGTCTAAGTGTAAGCCCACTCAAAGGATCAGGTGAGTATAACTTTTTTGTTATTTTCTTCCCTAGACCAAAACGAGCAGTTAACCCTTGCAGTGTGGGGGTAGCCCCATTGCAAGGTTTAATAAAAATGTGCCCCAGAGTTCGACTTCAAAACTGCAACAATGTGCATAGGCCCTAAGGCTCCATTCACACATCGGCGTTTGCAATCCAGCACGTTTTGGCGTGCAGAAAAAAGAGCGTTCATACATGCGCAAAAAATCTCTAACTTCCAGAGCTACTGCACGGTAGCAGGGAGGACATGCCATTGTTCCGTGATACTTTCAAAAAGGGTAAGGGATGTGCGGACACCTCATGGTGTCTACTATTCAGATTCTGCAAGTGTGTTTAGTCTGCATTCAGTACAGTTGCTTTAAATAGCTTTTACTTTCCAAAGTTGGACAGTCTACAGAAGCAGCCTGTAAATATTTCTACTGTAACATACATTTAAAAGTTAACCACCTCCGGGCCGGCCGGGCCGAGCTCTCTAGATCTGAGCGGGCGTCTTTAGACGTCCGCTCAGACACGCCCCCCCGCGCGAGCGGGAAATGGCCGAAATTTAAAAACAGGCAGCGATGCCTGTCACCATACAAGCGATCCGCCGGCTGTAGAGCCGGCGGATCGCGTGTATG